GCTAACAGCCTTAAATATCCATGGATCATCAGCTGGAACAGCATTACCGCAGTGTAGCTGGAATGGGGATAGAAATACATCCTGAATGTTGGCTGATTAGCCAGGTTACAAAGTCATTTACTGTGAGGTGCCTAATGCAGTTGTGTAGATTAGGAGAGGAGTTGCCATAGGCTCCCTTCATAGTCAGAAGAGAGAGGATCACCTACACACAGCACTGCAGATCACTTGAAGTCTCATTTGCCTTCAGTCATATTGGGAGGCTGGCACCTGCATTGCTACCTTACGTTGTCTACTGCTACGTGATGCTGAGCCAGGGCACTCAAGCAACAGTAAATATGTCTTCAGAGATATTAAATTACTATTTTTACTATTAATAATTAATATTGAATGATAAATTTAATGGTAATACTAATTTAGTAGGTCATAATCATCCTTAGAACAGACTAGGTCATCTATGAAACTGGTACAAACACAGCAGTCTTTTCTGCTTATGAGAGAATATCTTGTTTATGACTTTTTGCAAAACCCAAGCAAACTGCATGGTGATATCAGAAATCTTTAGGATGTGTGCCTGAGGCAATGCTGCAAGTTATTTTTTCAATGAATTTGTTGCATTCAATTAGTATGAACAGATTAGTTGTCTTCCATGGAGTGAACTTAAAACATTTGCAGATGTTTTTTTCTTACCCTTTGTAAAGGATACTTGTGAAAAACATTTTCTTTTTATGCCTAATGTGGTGTTAGAATATTTGCATTTGCTATGTATTCCATGAAATTATAGGCAAACTGTGGAAAAGCAGTATGGCATTTGAAGTTTGACACCTATTTTTGTGGGTTAACTCTTCCTATAGTTAGGTTTAAATGTTTACTACACAGTATGTCTCAAGAAAGGATGCAACACACATGCCTGCAAACAAACTGGCAAGTGCATATGGCAGATTATATAATCTTTAAAGACTGATAGAAATTACGTTACTGCACATATTTTGATTTTTCTTCTAGGTAAGGGAACGACTGAGGGTTTCTTTAGAAAGAGTCTCTGCACTGGAAGAAGAACTAGCTGCTGCTAACCAGGAGGTAACATAAAACACTTTCTCCCCTTTTGAGGTTCAATTTCTTTAATACTCTGTCCCATGTGTTCCCCGTCACTTTTCTTAAAACTGTCAGGAAAAAAAAAAAAAAACATTCTGAGTAAGCTGCTCAGTGAGGCTTGTTTAAGGTGGTTGTAAGATTACTACAACCTTCTGTTTAGTGATTTATTCCTTTCTTCTATTCCCTTGTGAGCAAGCCAAAATCCAAGAGCTAGTGACAGATTCCCAAATTTCTTATTGGACATGAAAAATGAGTGTAAACAATTTAAAAACCTGAATTTCCATTTTACTATAAGATTCAGTAAAACACGTACACACACATATATAAATGTTTTATATATAAATATATAAACACACACATTATATAAATGCTAAAATTGATGGATGAAATATTATGGGTGACATTGAAATTTAGATTTATCTCTTGCCTTTTAATTGCAATGTTTCATGGCGAACTTTGGTGCCATAGAACGATTGTGAACTTGGACAAGAGATTTTTTTTTCCTGCATGGTAGTTTGCAGGCTGTTCTCTTTTGTTTGAAAGTGTGAACGGCAACACATAATTGTGTTGCACACACAACTGTACACACATGTAGAAAGAAATTTTGCAACCCAGAGAGACTATTCTGAGGCCAGAAAATATAAATAATGGAGTTTGTTGATGGCTGACATCCCTGTCACGTTCTCAATCTCCACCTGACGTATGCTTCTCATACTTTTAAAAATAAGTCAGACAAGCAATAGAATTGGATTAAGGCTATTTTGGGTTATGTCCATTTACTGGTGTCATTTTACTCAGCCTTAAGGCAGAAACTGAAGACAGCCACAGACAAACTTAAAGTACTACCAAATAATTCTGGAAAAATGGAATACTTGCAATTCAGAATAAAATGTGATCATGTATAATAGAGATTCCTAAAGTAATCTTTTTCCAATATTAAGCTAGAAAAAGTTACTTTCTTAAAGTAACTTCTTAAAAATAGGATCTGCAATTAAGATATTAGTACTTCCTAAACCATGAACTAGAGATTTTGAATCATCCCTTTCTTCTCTGAAGTAACTACACATTATCTGTGCAAAAATAAAATCTCTCTTTAATTCTTCCCTTTCATACTGTCCAGAATACTTGTGTTCAAATGATTTAGTTACACCATGTTGCATAATCTGTTATTTGCAATAGTGTTTATTAAATAAAAAGCAGTCCTTTTGGTCAGTCAAGCCAACTGAGATGCATCCCACTCCCCTAATCCCTCCCAATCATGATCCAATTCAATCCAAGTTCACTTCACTGGGCATGGGACCAGGTCTTTAGAACATCGCCTTGTTAATTGGAGTTTTAAAAAAATTAGTGAAACTCATATTGACAATAAGGAATAAAAACATACACAACAAAATTAAATTGAAATAGGACTTTCATAGCTTTTCTTGACCCAAATCCTTAGAAATATCATGCAAACTTTGTGTCTATGTGATACTAAAAACATTTAGAAGGACATTTAATCAACGAAGCACAACGTGACCATTAACATAATTGGAATACTGTCATTCTAGTTTCCTATGAGGAACTGTTAAAGCTGAAAAATGGAAATTCAATATAATAATAATGAAAAAAGAGCTAGATGGGAAGAGATGTGGAAGAGAATGAGTGGATTATTTTCAGTTAATGCATTTAAACAAGAGTTCAGATAATGTTCACACAATGAGTTACTTAAACGAGATGAAATTAATTAGACAACTGCAATATATAAGCCTTTTTTATACTAGATTCCACAGTGAATGCACAGGCAATAAAGGGCTTTAAAAATTTATTGTACTGTGTATGAAAATAAATGGACCAAGTTTCCAAGGGAATTGAATATATGTTTTTCAGTAATTTCTGTATTCCTGTCACTCAGTGTCTGGTCTCCCAAGAGAATTCATATTTTCTTTCATATCCATTTTCTCATACTGATTGTAAGAGTGTACTACATATTCAGGGCTATATCTAAACATAACATGATGACAGAAAATTGGTCTCCTGATTAAACTAGTATATGATTAGGTATATAACAAGTATCAGATTCAGGGATAAAAAAATAGTAGAAATGTATCTGTTAAGGTAACACCTTTCTCTGAAAGCTTATGGCTGTGGCTTTGATGCAGAGCAACAATGAGAAACTGCAGACACCCATGAGTATTTATTGAAAGTTTCCTTGTATAAAAGAGAAAAATTGAGAGAGACTATAGCTTTCCATCATTAGATGGTAAATAAGCTCTCGTTTAACAGTCTTTGTAGCATATTACGTACATACCGAAGGGAGTGAAAAAATCTGTAATTCTGGCAAAGCTGATTTCAGCTCTAGTTGCCAACACCATCTCACAAAGCACTTTGTATTTGATAGGGAATAGTAACACACGTTGACTTTAAACTGCAGGGACAATTGAGATGGACAGTTGGACCCACTGGGAGAACTTAGCTTGTGTAGCTAATATTTCTATGTAGTCATACAAGGGAAATAGAGAAGGGCTTTGGTCTGAAGTTCCAGTGGTGACTGTTGATATGGCATAAGTCACTGTCCTTGGTTCAGTTGAACTTTTCAGAAACAAGAATGTCCACCAAATGGTTCATTGCTGTTTTGATTCCTTGAAGGCAATAGTTTCTATAAAAAAGTGAATATGTAGTTTATCATCTCCTTTACACATAAATGCTGCACAGAAATCATTTTGATTTTATGTAATATTTTAAATATGCCAGTGATTTGTAATATTTTTAACAAGTTGATTCTCTCTGTAAATTACAATATAAAATATACATCAAGGGAATCGTTATGTTTACTACAAGTTTAACAAGAATGGTACAGGGGTAGAATTAAATCAGATGTGAAGTCTTGGTTTTAAATTGTGTCAAGCTGAAGGATATTTGCAGGGTACATCAGCTCCTGTTAAAACATGTTTACAAACAATAAATATTATACTGTATTTTACAGAGCACAGGATTCAGCTCAGAATTGGAACTCTTGAATTTGGGTGTCTACATGTGAGCCAGATGTCTGAAATTCAACTGTAGTCTGTGGAGCTCCAGTAAATCCAGTCTGCCAGCTAACCTGGTGGTCAATCTGCCAGGGCTGCCAGATACAACTCAAAATTGACAGGAGAGCTATTTCTGTCTGGAGCTAGAGGTGGGGAAGGAATACCCCTTGTCACTATGATGACACCAAATCCCTGCGTTAGGCAGCTGGCTCTCACAACAAGCCCGTATGTAGACACCTAATGCATAGACAGCTAAACTTAGGTGTCTTATTCCTTACAAACAGCAGAAGCTCTCTGAATCAGGCAGTGGGCTTCTAGATATGGGGGAGATGATACAAAATGGGCCTATATTATACTTAAAGAGTAGATGATTGAAAATTCTTGGTATATAGATTTCACTGGGAGAAAAAGTTATTTGACTGTATATTTTATTTTGCTGTAATAGATTATTGGCGGTAGCAGGGACCTTTAAACATAGCAGCAATCTGGATTGCAGTTAGAGAGTTTTCATGCAAACTGGGGCAAGATAACTGGCTACAGTAATTACATTCCATAGTCATAATATTTGCTTTTTAACACCCGTTATCACACAATGTACCCAAAATTATCACACTTTTTTCTTTTATGCTTACACTGGAAGCCATTATTTGCTCACAACCAGTAGATGTTGTCCTATTCATTGTCTGTTGTAGCTGAGTAGTAGATATTGTTAACAATTTTCTGAAAAATTTACCTCCCATATTTAGTTAAAATTACTGTAAAACATTGGTACATTTGCTTACCCCTCAGGTGCTTTTAAATTGATGCTGGCTTTCATCTGTTTCCACATAACCCATGGTCTCTACAAATTGTTTTGTTGCTGAAGGTTGTAATTTCCAGTTAGCGGTTAGACAAGCTGCAAGTGATACATCCAATACCAAAGCTCAGTGGTACAGTAGTGTCTGTATATGAACATTTTGAAGGCAATGTGATGTTTTTCAGTGAGGATATGAACATTTTCAAATTTCAGCAAGGTTCTGCTAACCAGCTTCCTTTTTACACACTAATTGGAGAAGAATGAGATTCATTTGCAAGGGAAGTGGGATGCGAATTTTCCTTCCTGGCTTTGTCATTTATGATCTTCATGGAACTTACGTTTAATATTAAAATTACTGACAAGATAACCACTTTTGTTCCACAGCTTTTGAGATGCTCTTACTAGTGTTATGAGTGTGAGCCTTTGTTAAAATCATGCTAAACTGCGGCATGTGCAAACACCACACTAAGATATTTCATTAGCACCATATATCACCGGGAACTCAAGTGCTAGTGGCTGGGACACGGGGGGGGG